TTTGGGTCTCTGTTTTTTAAGTTCGTTATATATTCTGGTAATTAAACCTCTATCAGATGTGTCGCTGGTGAAGATTTTCTCCCATTCTGTGGGTTTTCTGTTTGTTTCCTTGCTTGTCTCCTTTGATGTACAGAAGCTTTTTAGCTTAATGAGGTCCCACTTGTTAATTCTTGCCCTTGTTTCAGAAAGAGAAAACTTTTTAATACAGACAGACTAATGACTGGGAAGAATGGAGCGGGAACCGAGAAGGAAAACTTACACTTTTTATTTTGCTCTTTTTACATGGTTGAATCACATTCAAACTAACAATAGTATATTTACTGAGTATTGTTAAGTATGTTTCATGGGCTTTAGTTTCCTGTTCTCTAAAGGATGGAGGCTGAACAATAAGGTCAATTGTAGCTATGAAAGCAGAAGATTTGCCTCTCTGTGACTCACTACTAATTTCTGTGGACAGGCAAGGACATAAACTCTTCTCTTTAATAAATGGACAGTTATATCTCAGTAAGTGACAAATAAGGACATGGGCAAAGAAAAGTTCCAAAGCATGGATGGGTTACTACCACCAGGCTTAGTAGTTTTGTATGTATTTTGAAGGCAATTTGTAGATGATGAAGATAGGTATTGAAAATACAGTATTTGTGTGGGGGGTGATAATAAAATGAAAGCTTTGCTTTCTTAGTCATCTCTCTGTGCTTTCTTTCTTAGTGGGTAAGGTGTCTTCTCATACTACCTTAGAATACTGAAGTTTCAGATTGAACCCGTCACACAGTTGGAGTCCAAGAAACACTTGGTGATACGTTTCTTATGAAATTGTACTGCACCTTAGGGTGGTCACCGGGAAATGCAAGGTGCTCTTTGTGGCATGTGATTTTTTGCCAACGTGAAGACAATGGGTCCATGACATGTGTGACCTCTCCTGTAGGCTGTCAGTTTCACAAAGCTAAGTCAACCAAGTAGGACTAGATGGTGTCTCTTCACCTCCCCTTCCTGAAGGTTCACATTAAAGGAGACTTTTCTGACTTGGAAGAATGTTCATTGGTGTGTTGCATTCTCCCTTGCTGAAACTGGGGTGCTTTGATGATTAAAATCATGGGCCAAAGTATGCCATACACTGTGCAAAGGCTTTGCTCTTATTGATGCTTTTATTTCTAAAGACAGAAGTCTCTTAGAATACTTCCTAATATGAAAAGGATATTTAATTTAGATTATAAAAATAAATTCTTGGCCAGGTACTGAGCTGTATCATCTATATATAGACATCAAATCATCAAAGGTAGCAGGGAATATAATTTATTCATTTATTTATGTATGCATTTATTTTTTAAACTTCATTTATTTGAGACTTTATCATGTGTCAGAAATATTTTGTGGCTTTTTTAAAGGCAGTCTTGCCCATCGTCATGAACATTTTATGTCACCCTGGTTATTAGTGTCCAGAATGTCTGGTTAACTATGAACTATATTCTAGAAGCGGTCTTGCCCATCGTCATGAACATTTTATGTCACCTTGGTTATAAGTGTCCAGAATGTCTGGTCAACTATGAACTACATTTTAGAACTGGTTATTTAAAGAAACTACCTTTAATGCAACAGATTGTCTTCTGTAGCATGGGTGGTCCTTATGAAACTGGGGGCGGAGGGTCTCAAGAGCAGAGCCAAGGAATCTTACAGAGAAGAAAGAACTTGGCCTCAAGACAGCAACACAGAAACTCGGCCACTGTTACCAACTTACTGGTCCTTCCTGATGCATTTCAGACTAGGTGCTGAAATCTCAATATCTCCTTGAAGTTTTGGTCTTCCAGCTTGTTCCCTGGATCCTAAACTCACCAGCTCAGCTCCCTTTGTCCTGATATCTTTCTCTATACATATAAATCAAATTCTGTTTTTTTTTTAACTCTAAAATACTCAGTTTCCTTTGTAAGTCAAGTGTTATAATGTTACAATGAAAATAATCAAATAACTGTTCACATATATTTTTTCAGCATATTATTTTATTTAAAGTTGTCTTCAGGCAAGGTACTGTCTAAAAAAAAAACAATGATAGCTTTGTCCATAGATGTTAAGTTATCTAAAGTTACCCAAGGTAATGGTAACATCTAGTGCAGCTTTAAAGAATAAGAATTTGTGTTAGATTTTACTTCTCAAAGAAAATTATTCAATTAGAGCCCCCAAACTTGTAAACTAAGTATTCT